TCTCACATTTTCACAAGGCAAAGTGACTTCATCCCCAACTCTGACAACAATACGGGGGGAGAGTTGTTCAGTCACTGCTGTTGAAAAGATGAGAGAAAAATGAGCTGAAATATGAATATGGCTTCAACATGTTGAAAAACTACTGTCATAATTCATTAGTTAAATAATAGTTGCAGTAGCAGTAGAATAAAAAAATAAGCTATCTTTTCAAATGCTTGTGGTTATTTGCATCCTTACCTGGAAACAGTAGCACCATCATCAGAAATAAAGATGTTTTAATCCATCTGAACTCAACCATCGTGTGTCTTTTTCTGTCCCTCCTCAGCTAACTGTTAAAGTTTCTGAACTGATATTTGAACAATCTTCTTCCTGTGTAATGTATTACTTCCTCATTGTGACCGTCTTCTTTTTCTCTCTTTTGTAAGTTGCTGTAGGCGGAGCACTAACAACTTTTTTTCAGCTTTTAATTTCCTTGAATTCCTGAATTTGAACCACCAAAGATTCAATTTAACAAAATATGAACTTATCTCACCGCAGAAACCTTCATAGACTGATTACTGAATCTTGCTTGTTGGATGTGAGGGTGAAAGTCTCAACTGAATCTGCGATTAGAGAGAATAAAAACTGTCAGAATTTCTCTCCAAACCCAAGAGGGAACAGCAGGCTTTTTGACATATTAGTCCCAAGTACAACAGACTGTATTGTGATGTCAGCTGAATTGAAAGGCTTCTTGAAATAATTGTTTGTGAAATGTTTGTATTTTGGTGATTCTTAAAACCTTTATTCTCTTACTTAAAAAGATTAGTCCTGTACTTCTGATTGTTGTTTTGGTTCAAACACCATGATGACAGAGCTTTAAGTGATGTATAACGCATGATTCATGCATTATAGGACGTTACGTGCATTCATGTTGCTTTCTATAATGTGATGATCGAGTCACTATTATTTTGTTTATGTGATTAGTTAATGCCTAATGGATCATCAGTGATCATCTAGTATTAAGTCACAATTTTTAGTCCAATATTAAGCTGTTTTCTTTAAAAGCAACATATTGACGTTTTCATGTAACCACCAGTTTGATAAAAAACATATTGATGAAAATACACTGATACACTTTTCTTTAGAGACTGAACAAATGCATGGGTTTCAAATGTTTTTTGATTAATTAATGTATGTAAGTAACTGTAAGTTAACATTACTTAACTGATGATTCATTAAGCATTAATTAATCACGTAGACTTAAAGTGACTTCATCATTTCACACCACAAGCCACATGAACCATAAATACAGTATTGAGATGCTCAGGTGATAGTACCTGCAAGGAAAATCAGTTACAGCAGCAATTAAAAGTGATATTCAACAAAGTGATATGTAAACTATATAATCACATAAATATCGCCCTGCAGTATAGGTCATATAGCCTGCTGCCTCCATGTTAGCAGATGGGAAATGAGCCAAATATAAAAACTCAGTGATCACGTCAAATAAAATGTTCCCAAAGATGGCATCTGTCATTTTACGTAGTTCTTATCACACTTCTGTATGTTCTAGTGTTTATTGTTCTGTTTTCTGTTTTGTTTTAATTTGTTATTTAAAGGTATAAAAAGGGGGTTTTACATCATGATTGACAGCTGGGCCCTGATTGCAACCTGGATCAATACTGCGCAGACTCTG